ATATATATATATATATATATACTGGCTAGACGTGAATGTAGAGTCTGGTGGAATCAAGATTATATAGATCATTTGATTTTCGATTGCTGATTTCTAAATATTGCTTTAACATATAAAATATTTGCCTTGCAGTTCCGGAAGTTGCCCACCGTAAGTACTTTAGTAATTCTTATGTTGACCAATATTATATGGGGTACAGAGTGCTTGACTTATTGCTAAAGAATTAAGCTATGTTTATATTTAAGTATTTGTATATGTTTCAAACGTGATCATTGCGTCACGTTATTTATTTCTCATAAATGTTAAATAATCCCCTTTTATTTTCATCTTTCATTATTGTTTTCACCAGATCAATTGCGTGAAGGTAAGACATATTTCACATAATACACCGGTGGTCAATCGTTGGTTTTTATGCATGCCTACTACGTACTTGTCGCTGATACATTGGATATTAGCCCTCAATTCAATACTATACAGGTTTAATAATAATACATAGATACATACACCCGAACAAGTATAGCAAAATGTTAGAAACATATCCACAATTAAAAGCGTGATATCTTACTATCTAATGTTGACAACCAAACGCGGCGCGTCTTTGTAAACGAATAACGAACACATCAGTTCGCTGACCCCAGTTTTTAACAGGTATGGTGTGAAGCTGCAATACGTAATGAACTATGGTAATTTAACACTATCATCCAAAGTGATCCTTATGAAATATTTCGGCCCCCTTAAGCGCCGATTATATGCTCTTCTTTACACTAACGAGTTTTTCGTCTCTGACTCAAAGACAAAGGTGTTAAGGGTATGAAGGCCCATTATCACACATTCGACGGAGTGAGGTATTCCTTTAAAGGCATCTGCACTTACTTGCTGATGAAAGAAAATGTTACCGATCCAAGATTCCACGTGTGGGCCAATCACGCTAGTGTGACAGAAAACGGCAGGACTAGTGTCATGGTTAAATCAGTGGATGTGGATGTTAATGGTGTGGCTATTGAGTTACAACAAGGAAATGGAAAACTAATGGTAAGCCAATAGGATCCTAGAAATGTCTTAACATGTCATTGGAGTCTTGATTTCAAATTAGAAGTTAGCTTAATTTACAGTGTTAATCATTTTATTTTGAAAAATTGGCACCGTTTTGGAAAATAATGTTATGAAAATTACCCATGTTTACATGGAACAGTCTTGTCACCCTTTCGCAATCCAGGGCCTATATTTATTTATATCTAATGTTTCGAAAAACGTTTACTATGGTTCATAACTGATAGAATCGGGTTTTATAGGCGTGTATTATTAGTTCCGTTGTAGAGTAAAATATAAACATATAAATAAAATTGGTCCCTTATCCTTTTTTTTATTTTACATATGACAAGTTATATCATGTCAAGTTTCTGTATTGACTAGCGTTAAATTAGTCCGTTTGCAATGTTATTTTTACCTGCATGAAAAATTTACTTAGTTTACATCTATTTATGTTAACAGAGGGCGCACTCACTCAACTTTTCGTGGTGATTCTTTCAATGGTGTATTACTGAATTTCACTTTTTTACGATTTTACAATGGTCTTTCAAATTATTTAATGATGTACGTGGTCACATATTGCTACGTGTGACAGTCTGTGTATATAAATTCAGTGTTTGTGGACAACCTATTCAACTCCAACTTCCAGATTTCAGCTATTGTAAATATACCAAACTCAAACTCAACACATGGTGGATATTTTTGTGCGAGTATAAACGAAAATCAATTGACTATGGCGTCAATGTGAACAGCCCGTATGCATGTCGACGCTTGCATAATTGTTAGATTTGTCCCATGTGCACTCTCCACAGTTGACTCTTAAGTGTGTACATACTATGAAAAGTAAGGTACAAATCAACATGCATCACTAACAATGTATGCATCGTAGTGGGATGTTACGGGATAACATTAGCCTGAGTGAATGTAACTGTTTTTTCTAGGTCAATGGTGCTGACATCCGTCCCGAATTAGAAAATAATGGACATTACGAGATTGATGGGATTGAGTTCTCATTTGTTAAAAACCAAAACCGAATTCGTGTCAGCGTTACGGGCACATTTCAGGTTGACTGGAATGGCAAGGGCCACATTATCATCGAGCTAGACAAATCTATGATCGGCAACGAGAAAGAAGGGGGGAAAGTGATTGGGTTGCTAGGTAACGCAAATGGCGTGAGAGAGGACGAACTGATAGAGCAGTTATACGACGGGACTTATCGAGTAATGAGCAAGTTAGAAGCTGGAGAGAAGCCCACGATGGAGGAAATGATAAGGTTTGGAATTTCCTGGATAAAGGAGTAAGTAATATTACAATAAATTCACCATAATCGATTAACAATCATTTAATTGTACATAACACATGCAGTGGGCGTCGGCTTGTCAAGACATATTTATGAATCTGGTTCATTATTTATCGCCGCCATACAAGGCCCGGCGTAGTCATTCGCCTACCGGGGACAAAATGGCGCCTTTAAATTTGGTTTTCAAAAATTGTAATTTGTTGGAATTCCAAAATAAATCAGACAACAATTATTGTTTTCCAAAATTGGGCGGTCGCACTTTCGTCAATTTAAAAATTATCAGTCGACGTGGAATTGTCGTTTATGGTTCAAAACGGTCAGTTATAAAGTTTCTATGACCGCGATATGGATGTGTGACCTCCGGTGGTGATTTTCATCGATGACAGTACATGTCAACTAGGACAACACCCCACCCACCCCACCCACCCCCGCCAGATATATAGTTACAACTTACATATTGAACCATTGAGAAAGGTTATAGTCTGTGAATAACACTTTACAATAGTTTACATAAATTTTAGATTAAATCAACAATGAACTAATGCTTTGCCAGGATAACAACATTTGATCCATTTTGTTCAAAACACAACATATTGTTGTTCAATGTTGGCTAATACCCCAATGTCTAGCTTTATATTAATTGTATTCATAAATCCATATCCGGTCAAAACGACGTAAATATACATGTACATGGGACAGGATAAGGGTAAACTATCTCCAAACCATTTGTAAGTTGCACGCAAAAAATTGCGATGCACGCCATATTGTTGCGTGGTTTTATTTGTACTTGCCTTTAACCTTTGTTTCTGACATGCTTTTATATAATTCGCCACGTCATTTTGGCTGTCAGTGCAATCATCAAATACTGCTAGAAGTCACTAACAATAGCATTAGGGTTGTCTCGGCATTTTTTGAAAACAAAGCATGGACATGATATATGATGAGTCGCTAATGTATGTAATTTTGTTTTGCGGTCTGAATAAATATGGCTGACTGGCTGCCATGCTGGTTATATTTAATAGTGTTGTTACTAATTACAATGTGGCATTTTTTAATTGGTCTTACTATTTTCTGTGACACAATTATTGGAAAACTAGTCTTCCTCGAGTGTTGCAATAATTAAACCCTGCATACGTATGTCACTCATGTAGATATCTATCTTCCTTTCAGTTGTCAAGAAGTGGTATAATATCATGTCAGCGAGTATTTGCTTCAACTTACCTGAACTGGTACCAACACCAACACAAATCTTGAGAAAAATTCTGAAATTTGGATTTAGTTTTTTCTATGATTGCATGTTCGGAATATGTGATGGGTATAACTATAATTATTCACGTTTAAAATAACAAGACGAGCGTTTGCACTTATATACATTTCTATGTAGTTATATGTGCGAGTGTGTAATTATACATGGATATATCTTCTGACCTAACTATAAGTTGGGAAGGAACACTTTCGTTCATCGTATTTCTATTAGTCGTAATTAAAAATCCATTCTTGCAAGCATACTGGAGTACTTTTTTACGTAGTTGAATACCACGATGGTAAAGAGTGGACTTTGGCCTCGATTTCGATTTTCTAGTTATGTTATGATGATATTTTTCGTTTCATTACTTTAATGTTGTTACCCGTGGTACTTGCAATTCATTGAATTGTAAACAATACGTGTAAGTGAATGTTCATGTACAATAACTAATTGGACTCTAGACACTCACAAGCAACATAAATTGTGCACACAAATAAAGCCTATCAAATTATATTCAGAACGACCTATATAGTTACGATCTCCCTCGAGAAAGAATCTGTAATCTAATGTATATTTAGATGTATTGCTACATAACGTATAGACTGTCGACAGACCTCGGGCCTAATGTAATTGTGTTTCCTGGACATTCAAACTACGAAGGCGTTTGATGGGAAATGCGAAACATTTCACGCGAGGGACTGTAGTCCCGAGAGACTGTCCCTGTCTGCAGGTTTCGAGTTGATATGAATAATTCATAGTTGATGCTGACGTCACGGAATAAATTATATTAACATAAGGTATGCAAATTTATTGTAAATGACCACTGAATGCGTTGGTTGTTCACGTTATGAACACAGTGAATACATGCAGTCACTCCACAACGTGCATTGTTTGTGGCAGTCAAGTAGAAAATATAGAAAACCGTAGGAGACTAATTCGCAGGATCAACAGAACTACGACATGCAAAGCAATAAAATTTGTTGTGGAAGAGACGAACGATCTACATCTTGCCAGTTCGTATGCGTGCCGAAAATGTGGACTGAGAGCGTCGACTCTGCAGAAAAACATGGAAGAAACATTACACCAATAAATAAGCATACTGGTGCATGAACACAACTAGAAATGTATTTACATTGACATTAAGAAGCTGCTTGCAGAGATGTATTACATTGCCATTAAGAAACTGCTTGCATAAATGTATTACATTGACATTAAGAAGCTGCTTGCAGAAATGTATTACATTGCCATTAAGAAGCTGCTTGCAGAAATGTATTACATTGACATTAAGAAGCTGCTTGCAGAAATGTATTACATTGACATTAAGAAGCTGCTTGCAGAGATGTATAACATTGACATTAAGAAGCTGCTTGCAGAAATGTATTACATTGACATTAAGAAGCTGCTTGCAGAAATGTATTACATTGACATTAAGAAGCTGCTTGCAGAAATGTATTACATTGCCATTAAGAAGCTGCTTGCAGAAATGTATTACATTGACATTAAGAAGCTGCTTGCAGAAATGTATTACATTGACATTAAGAAACTGCTTGCAGAAATGTATTACATTGACATTAAGAAGCTGCTTGCAGAAATGTATTACATTGACATTAAGAAACTGCTTGCAGAAATGTGTTACATTGACATTAAGAAGCTGCTTGCAGAAATGTATAACATTGACATTAAGAAGCTGCTTGCATAAATGTATTACATTGACATTAAGAAATAGCTTGCATAAATGTATTACATTTACATTAAGAAACTGCTTGCATAAATGTATTACATTGACATTAAGAAGCTGCTTGCATAAATGTATTACATTGACATTATGAAAGTGCTTGCATAAATGTATTACATTGACATTAAGAAGCTGCTTGCATAAATGTATTACATTGACATTATGAAACTGCTTGCATAAATGTATTACATTGACATTATGAAACTCCTTGCATAAATGTATTACATTGACATTAAGAAGCTGCTTGCAGAAATGTACTACATTGCCATTAAGAAACTGCTTGCATAAATGTACTACATTGCCATTAAGAAACTGCTTGCATAAATGTATTACATTGGCATTAAGAAGCTGCTTGCAGAAATATATTACATTGACATTAAGAAGCTGCTTGCAGAAATGTATTACATTGACATTAAGAAACTGTTTGCATAAATGTATTACATTGACATTAAGAAAATGTTTGCATAAATGTATTACATTGACATTAAGAAGCTGCTTGCATAAATGTATTACATTGACATTAAGAAACTGCTTGCATAAATGTATTACATTGACATTAAGAAACTGTTTGCATAAATGTATTATATTGACATTAAGAAGCTGCTTGCAGAAATATATTACATTGACATTAAGAAAATGCTTGCATAAATGTATTACATTGACATTAAGAAACTGCTTGCATAAATGTAATACATTGACATTAAGAAGCTGCTTGCAGAAATGTATTACATTGACATTAAGAAGCTGCTTGCCGAAATGTATTACATCGCCATTAAGAAGCTGATTAAGAAATGTATTACATTGACATTAAGAAGCTGCTTGCAGAAATGTATTACATTGCCATTAAGAAGCTGATTGCATAAATGTATTACATTGACATTAAGAAGCTGCTTGCAGAAATGTATTACCATGACATTAAGAAGCTGCTTGCAGAAATGTATTACATTGACATTAAGAAGCTGCTTACAGAAATGTATTACCATGACATTAAGAAGCTGCTTGCAGAAATGTATTACATTGACATTAAGAAGCTGCTTGCATAAATGTATTACATTGACATTAAGAAACTGCTTGCATAAATGTATTATATTGACATTAAGGAACTGCTTGCATAAATGTATTACATTGACATTAAGAAACTGCTTGCAGAAATGTATTACATTGACATTAAGAAGCTGCTTGCAGAAATGTATTACATTGACATTAAGAAGCTGCTTGCAGAAATGTATTACATTGACATTAAAAAGCTGCTTGCGGAAATGTATTACATTGACATTAAGAAACTGCTTGCAGAAATGTATTACATTGACATTAAGAAACTGCTTCCATAAATGTATTACATTGACATTAAGAAGCTGCTTGCAGAAATGTGTTACATTGACATTAAGAAACTGCTTGCAGAAATGTATTACATTGACATTAAGAAACTGCTTCCATAAATGTATTACATTGACATTAAGAAGCTGCTTGCAGAAATATATTACATTGACATTAAGAAGCTGCTTGCATAAATGTATTACATTGACATTAAGAAACTGCTTGCATAAATGTATTACATTGCCATTAAGAAACTGCTTGCAGAAATGTATTACATTGACATTAAGAAACTGCTTCCATAAATGTATTACATTGACATTAAGAAGCTGCTTGCAGAAATATATTACATTGACATTAAGAAACTGCTTGCATAAATGTATTACATTGACATTAAGAAACTGCTTGCATAAATGTATTACATTGACATTAAGAAGCTGCTTGCATAAATGTATTACATTGACATTAGGAAACTTCTTGCATAAATATATTACAATGACATTAAGAAGCTGCTTACAGAAATGTATTACATTGACATTAAGAAGCTGCTTACAGAAATGTATTACATTGACATCAAGAAGCTGCTTGCAGAAATGTATTACATTGACATTAAGAAGCTGCTTGCAGAAATGTATTACATTGACATTAAGAAGCTGCTTACAGAAATGTATTACATTGACATCAAGAAGCTGCTTGCAGAAATGTATTACATTGACATTAAGAAGCTGCTTGCAGAAATGTATTACATTGACATTAAGAAACTGCTTACAGAAATGTATAACACTGACATTAAGAAGCTGCTTGCAGAAATGTATTACATTGACATTAAGAAGCTGCTTACAGAAATGTATTACATTGACATTAAGAAGCTGCTTACAGAAATATATTACATTGACATTAAGAAGCTGCTTGCATAAATGTATTACATTGACATTAAGAAACTGCTTCCATAAATGTATTACATTGACATTAAGAAGCTGCTTACAGAAATGTATTACATTGACATTAAAAAGCTGCTTGCAGAAATGTATTACATTGACATTAAGAAACTGCTTGCAGAAATGTATTATATTGACATTAAGAAACTGCTTGCATAAATGTATTACATTGACATTAAGAAACTGCTTGCATAAATGTATTACATTGACATTAAGAAGCTGCTTGCAGAAATGCATAACCCTGACATTAAGAAGCTGCTTGCAGAAATGTATTACATTGACATTAAGAAGCTGCTTGCAGAAATGTGTTACATTGATATTAAGAAACTGCTTGCAGAAATGTATTACATTGACATTAAGAAGCTTCTTGCAGAAATGTATTACATTGACATTAAGAAGCTTCTTGCAGAAATGTATTACATTGACATTAGGAAGCTGCTTGCAGAAATGTATTGCATTGACATTAAGAAGCTGCTTGCAGAAATGTATTACATTGACATTAAGAAGCTGCTTGCAAAATGTATTTACATGCCATAAAATAAACAGAAACATGGCCTGGGAACTAATTTGGTCAATTTTGGTTGTATAATCTGAGCCGTTTTTGAGATACAGAGAAACAGTAGTTGTTGAGGGACTGTGATAGGGGGTATAATTTGTCCCCCAAAATCAGGGTAATGTTAGCTTTAAACAATTAAACACAGCGTCAAATAGAAAGTGATTTTAATGGAATCAACCTTATACAAAGAATCTGGATTTGGAAGTTATTTAAGTGATGGACACTTCTTTTTTTCAAGATATTTGCATAATTACGTAATTGCCTGTCATATATTAAATAGAAAATCCTCAGACAAACACCGTCATGTTATATATTAAATTAACGCTATTTTGATGTAGTGTACAAATATTATTGATTATTACATAATTATCTATGTTTCGAATCGATATTAGACAGGGTCTACAGCCGAGTGGTGGTTCATTTTTTAACATGGAATTCTCCGATAATTCTCAATGTCTTAGATTGATAGGGAAACGTATAACGTGCCGAGGTAAACAAAGAATGTTGGCCAAAATCACACAAAATGGGAATGTAAAGAGATAGTGTGAGACCTTTGTATGTTTTGGCAATCCCAAAAACTTATCAAACACAACGGAATGCTTACGCTACAAATCACCGATATGGAACAGAGTAAATGCACCCCGCCGCAAATTACTAGCACCGGACAGAGTCAAACTGACTCTCTAGTATATCATCGTGACGCCAAGTTGGAAACATCCACAGCAAATCACCCTGATGTAACTTCGCGAGGCGTGGGACTACCCACTGAGACAGGGACGATCAAACAGGCAAATATCGGGACATTCAAAGCCGCAAACAATTTACATGCTCTTTTGGAGGCGGCCGCAATAGCTGGTCAACAAAATCAGTAAACAAACAACAAACAGTAAACTCGAAATTCAGATTTATTCTTGTATAAAGTTTCTATAATGACCTTGCAGTATGTGCTTTATTTGTTTCTCGTTGGTTTTATCGTTTAGCGCCTACCATATTGACTGAACTAAACTACATCGTATGTAATGTTACCACCCATATACTATAATGTTGGAGAAAATAAAGGAAGATTTATTCATAATACACTTTATTGTACTATGTGTGCCGGATTACCAGTAATATGTGTATTTTCATGGCGGAGATCCATGTTTTTAATGACACTCGATGGCCCGCTTCAGTCACGGTGCTAAAGTTTAACGCAAATCATATTTATATCAGCCGTGTATTTCAGGATCGAAATACTGCCAACTAGAATTCACATTCCTGACATGTAATAATTTTCCTCCGAAAACATGCTTTCATAATATTTTGAGCGCTCCCCAAGCAACATTTTGTTGACTATAAGCAGCTGAAGTGTCGCTGCTGCTTTTTCAACTCGGTCAGGTCACGGTGCTGTTGTTGGCCTAAGAGATCTATTTTGCTTAAATATTACTCATCTGAATGAGCATACTTGCCTGGCCCCTAAAATTATATATACAAGAATAAAAATATAAACAATACGAATTGGGCGAATACACATTCACTAATTTTAACACGTGACGAGTAATTTTAAGAGATTGGTCATTATTAGAAACTATGGTGATACGGATTGTTTTGAAAACAAAATAATCAACAACAATCTAACCTTAAACTAAGTCAAGAATGCAAATAATTTGAACGATTGTATCTCTCACTCTGTGTTTCCATTGATCAACCCTGTAATAGTTAATTTTAGTGGCAGACTTCCCCCATACGCAACTCATCTAAAAATAATCGGAGATCGACGACACTTTTGAAGAAAAACATGTTTATTTATCAATTTACACGTTTCAGTAAGTTTTTTTGGCAATTACACAAAAACGAAAAATTGTGCGTGACATCAAGGGTGTTAATGTTGCAAGTCCGTCAATAATAGCAGTCATTTTCTCGTAATTTTCTCTTCACTTGACGAAAACACATTTCACATGAATTAAAGCGGAGGAGTCGTCACCTGCGCATGCGTAAGATGGCCATAGCGTGTTCTTGTTTACAAACAAGCGTCTACCCATGAGCCTTTACGTTTTTAGCGTGTGTTCTTATCGTCGCTTGGGACTCAATTCCCGCGCGTTCGCAGGTGACGATCCCTCTCGCTTTAAATTCAGGTGAGTATGGTGGATGAATAAGTAGCGTGACATTACTTGTTGCCAACATTTCACGAAGCACTGGCTCAGTTATTCGGTCATGGTGAAAACCACAATTATCCATTATTACTGTATCGCCTGGTGACAATACATGTTGCTCATTCTCGTCAAACAACTCAATTGGTTACTTCAAAAAATGAAGCATTTCAGTCCATTGGAAGGACCGTCTAAAATATTGAAGTTACTTACACCTCAAGCGTTTTTGAAACTCGACAGCTCTTTGTCCGCGCAGCTCCGGTGGGCTGGGTTTGTCAATTGATTTGTCAATTTTCTTTTAGCGGACTGAAAGAGGGACGCCTGGCGCGCCTCCCCCTGAATCGCGTGTTGGCGTCGTTCTCTTCCCACCAGTCTCGTCGAAAAAGTGTTAATATATTGTAATATTCGTTCCATACTTCTTTCAGTAACTTGCTCGGTAGGAGATTGAGGTTTTTTTGTTTGTTTTTTTGTTTTTTTGAACGAATAATTCAAATCACTCGCCATCATATGATGTACCATACGCACCGAAGGCAAATTTTCCTGCCCGCAAAAATACCCCCCCCCCCCGTGGTGATCTCACGGTAACACGATACATCCCACAATGCAACTTAACGAGTTAGAGACAGTTAGTACGACAGAGGCAGTTAGAGTGGACGGTCGGAGATTGGTGACGAGAGAGTTGGGTTGAAGACCGAGTGAACGACAGATCGGTTCAGTACGGCTCACCACTCTGCGTTGATGTACAGTTAGACCTCGGAACGTGCAACTCTGGGTGTGTGTTATATTATAAAGTGATGAAAACGACATGCAGTAACTTGTGTGAACATTGTTGAGCAGCTAAAATATCACCTATGCGATTCTAAGAAGGTACTCTCAAATTAATTATTCGCTGGGTTTTAATTTTGCTTATTTCGCTGACTGGAAAATGCGCTAAATTAAAACCCAGTGAATATGTAAAATTTAGCATAGAACACATTATCTAAATGATAAAACCCTGTGAATATGCCTGAAATGCTAAATCAGTGACATTTAAACCCAGAGTGAATATTAGTCTGTTACAGTACCCCAAATTCAACACAGACAGCGTCACTTATTCACCACGTCCACCCTACGAGCCCAAACCTAACAGTCAAGAGCAAGCCCCGCGAACCAAATAACAACGGCATGAAACGCAATAAGACAAGTTGAGAAACGGGTTTTTCAGAGCATGCGTGGTATTTATCACACATACAGAGATAAAAACACAATGTTTAAAACCACTCGTTTACTAGAGTATGCTATTGTATGACTTACTGGTGAAACTGTAATTATAGCTTTGTCTGTCGCCCGTACGATATAACAACCGTTAGTTTTTGCGATCACGTTTTGGAAGTGATTAAAAAGATAGTAGTCATTCCCATCCAATTTATAGAGAAGTTGTAAGTGCCCAGGGAGACAAGTGTCGAATTCATCAAAGGACTTGCATGGTATGAAATTGACAACGCAATCTGTGTTTTCGGGAATCATGAACAGGCACCATCGATTCATTTAATTTAAGAACCGAAATCACATTAACACCAGAGTCTAACCCCGTAATGTTTTCAGAAATAAATTGAAATCACGTGCTGTTATAGCCCGGCTTTCGATGCAAGCATCATCCCTCGCCATGTATGCTGAAGAGATGTACATGTACTTGATCTAACAACCTATGCTCATTACACTTGCATTCCATTTTTTTTGGAATCACGACGCTACTCAGGTTGTCGAATAGGAATTGCTATGCAAGTGGGGTTATGTTATAGTGTTTGCGGTAAAACAACAATTGGGACATAAATTTGGTTAGACCAAATATTAGACGAAACATTACGAATCATGGTGGTAATGTGACTTTAATTGAATTTGTGTCACACTTATTGCATATTCTTTTTTATAGGTTTCTTAGGAATTGAATATCTGCCTTCCTCTATTGCTAAGTCATGGTTACTAATTCTAAATTTTGTTAACATTTTACTGTTTACTGTTTTAAGTGTCAAGTTCATTAAAATATGGCTCAAAGATGTATTCTGTTTTTAAATTTAGCATATGTTCTCACTTTATAAGAGTTCAGAGTTGGAAGACCGGACCGTGATCTGCCAGTTTACTAAGTCAGCATTCTTTCGGCGTTCTCCGTCACCGGGAAATAAAAGCCAAGTTGTCCAATGGCAGAATTAATTAAAAACTCGGTCACATTGTATGGCCAGCCAGTCTGGTTGAAAGGACTACTGTTGCAACTAGCGCCACCAATGGTGACATAAAGAAAATTCTGACGTCACTAGCTGCTATATCCAAAATGTCGCTGGGTGATATTCCTGAGTACGCGAAGAAGGATTATGTCCTTCGAAAAATTGCCGAAGAGGCCAGACAAACACGTCGAAATTGGTTAGCTGACCAAGTGTTACCAGCGGGTGAACCAAGGAATATACCAAAAAAAGTCCCAGCATGGCAGGAAGTGTTTATTAAGCCCTTTCGACCGCTCGACCGCAAATTGGTGAGTGTGTATGGGGGGACAGTTGGGGTCACGACAGGACGACCCCGGATAATTTCACGTAGTCGAGAACCGCAACTTGTATGTTAATATATGAGGGAGGGAGAGCAGGGAAAAGGGGCAGGTAGGTAGAGTGCATTTGTGTGGGAGGCCATGATGTATGTCACATGGTCACATTGAATGCTAGTGGGACAACACAATAAGATATCATAATTCTCCTTGTAGCAGAGAAGAAATTTTCACCGGTAGTCACAGAAAAAAAAATGTGCCCCGGATTAGACACTGGACAATTCTTCCTGTGTACTATATTATTGTGCATACTGCTTAAAATTCGCTGATAAACTTCAGTCATGTGATTGTGTTTTTCAATGTGCAATTAAGAATGACACATTTACCTCAAAGTTTGGCGAAAGTCAATTTATAGAGGAACTAAAATGTTTGCAAATCTTAGGGGAATATAATCACCAACAAATCTATTCCCCCTTCATCATCTGTCAGCTAATATGCATATTTTTTTGTTTCTTTTTTTCTTGAAAGAAATGTCGTAAAAATGACGTAAAAAAACACACCTTAAACTGCCAAAAAATCGCCTAGAGCGATTTCTTGGTCCCATTTTATTTTTTTAAAAACCCAAACTGCCGTTTAATGGCCCAAGGCCAATTTACAGCAGAATCCAGCACTAAACTTTTACCAACAATATATGTTAGTACAAACCACATACATGTAGTAAGATTATTGTAGTTTGCTACCTCAGAACTTTGCCATGTGAGACTGCTATATACACTGCCAGTTAATGCAGAAACTCTGTGAATATTCTTTAACCTTATTGTATTAGTGAGCTCGTGTATTTTTGCATCACCTACCTTTTTTTTCAAATAGTGCAGTTATATCTGATAACACAATATGATAAATTTACCTTTATGTCACTGTACATATTAAATATCATTGATATGGGGTAACAATAATCAAATCAAAATAAAAAAAACATTAGCTTTTTTTGTATGAGATACTTAGTTATGTGTTTCTGTTTAGATACAACCCCCACCATTTTGACTTTTTGTATTCTTTTCTTGAAGACAGTATTTAGCTGCAAATCTTTATTCAAGCTGTCTGGCATATATAGTATTGTTTACTCGATCCCATTTAAAATTATTGAGCATATGATTGGAGCTAGTTAATTATTCAATCAATCCAATAGCTAGTTTATTTTGTGAACATAGAGTTTAGTCAGTATAAATTTATAACAGTGTGATTGCAGTCAGTATAGCTTGATATTAATGTGGTTGCAGTCAGTATAGCTTTATAACAGTGGTTGCAGTCAGTGTAGCTTTATAAAAGTGGTTGCAGTCA